TAGTTATTCATTCTTACTATTTATAAGAAACGCACATCTGGATTCTTTAAAAAAGCAAAACCTATACCCTATAAAGATATACAACTATTATGTACCCATAATTTAAAATTAAAATTAAAAAAAGCAAAACTTCCGCGCTTCTGCTTTTGTCTGTAAAATAAACTTCTCATTTCAAAGTTATATATGTTGGCATCCAGCACATGTTACCGGAAGGGTTTTATGAGGAGTGTTAAGAGTTTATTGTTGGGGCCAGGCGTGGTGGCTCATGCCTGTAATCCTAGCACTCTGGGAGGCCAAAGCAAGAGGATTGCTTGCACTCAGGAGTTCGAGACCAGCCTCAGCAAGAGTGAGACCCCATTTCTACAAAATAAAAAATGGAAAAATTAGCCTAGCGTGGTGGCACAGACCTGCAGTCCCAGCTACTCAGTAGGCTGAGGCAGGAGGATCACTTGAGCCCAGGAGTTTGAGGTTATAGTGAGCTATGAAGATGCCACTGCACCCTACCCAGGGTGACAGAGCAAGACTCTCTCCCCAACACCCCAACCCCTGGCAAAAAAAAAAAAAAAGAGTTTATTGTTAAGTCTGGACTCTGCAGTAAAGACTCCAAGAACCATTATCTTTAGCCCAGATATTGCATGAGCTTCTGGGCTTCCACTCCTGCCACCTCATGGCCAACTCTCCATACAGAGATGTCCCTTAAGAGCAAAATCAGATCCTGTAACTCCCCTGGTCAAAAATCTCCAACAGGTTTCCATCAAGTTTTGAATAAAATCCATGCCCTTATATGGCACCCTATATACTCTCTGGCCCTGGCTCCCTCTCTAACCTCAACTGTTGTTGCTCCCAGGCTTGTTGCACTCTAGCCACACTGGATGCTGTACTGGTCAGCAAGCAGGTTTCCATCTCGGGGCCTCCACACTTGCTCTGCCTCGTACATTCTTCCTCTAGATTTGCATGTGGCTCTCTCACTTCCTTCATGTGTCTGCTCAAATATTCTCTCCTACAGAGGTTTGCCCTGACCACCATAGCTAAAACAGCAGCCCCTCCTAGATCCTGCACAAGTAACAGTAAGGCCCTAAAAGGACTTGCTAGAATGTGTGCTGAAGGAAAAAGAGAACACCTTTCCTATCACATCTACTCTACAAGCAAGTTGCTTTAGCTTTCAACTTGGTACTTCTTAAATGTTGTCCCCTTTCCCAATTGGAGGAAAAGGGCTCAAATCATTCACAGAAACAAACTACAATGTTAAAAGTTAAAAGGAGGCCGGGTCGGGCATGGTGGCTCACGCCTGTAATCCTCTGGGAGGCCAAGGTGGGTGGATCGTTTGAGCTCAGGAGTTCGAGACCAGCCTGAGCAAGAGCAAGGCCCCATCTCTACTGAAAAAATAGAAAGAAATTAGCTGGACACCTGAAAATGTATATAGAAAAAATTAGCCGGGCATGGTGTCACATGCCTGTAGTCCCAGCTACTTGGGAGTCTGAGACAGGAGGATTGCTTGAGCCCAGGAGTTTGAGGTTGCTGTGAGCTAGGCTGATGCCACAGCACTCTAGCCTGGGCAACAGAGTGAGACTCTGTCTCAAAAAAAAAAAAAAGTTTAAAGGAAATTTAACTTATTTGAATATAAACAAGCTACTTTTGTAGATAATGTTTCTCCATTTTTTTCAGTTTATTTTATAGATCAGCCTTATTTGCTCATTTAAAAACCTACAGCAATATAAAAAATTAAACCTGCATCTGAGCAAGCTTCTATATCTACCTACCAATTTACTGGACATATAGGGGGCCACTTGGAATAGATTCAGCAAAATCCTAAATTTGGGAATTCTATAGGACAAATGACCCAGTTTCTTAAACAAAAGGAAAAGAGAGAAAAAGAAAGAGAAAGAGAGAGAGAGAGAGAGAGAGAGAGAGAGAGAGAGGAAGATGGATGGATGGATGGATGGAGGGACAGAGGGGGCAACTTGTAGACTAAGAGACTAATGAAGCACATTAATCAACTTCAATGTATGAACTGCATTTGAATCCCAATTCGAAACTATAAAAAAAATATATTGAGACAAATGGAAAAACTTAAACAATGACTGGATATGTGAGGATATTAAGGAAGTTTATTGCTAATCGGAGGAGGGTATAATAATCTAAGTTTGTTTACAATATTTGGAATAAAATTTTATATATTTTAGCTAAATACTATTTTTCTATCTTGTCAATGCTCTAACATATTTACTATCAGAAAAGAGCTCGAAGTTAAGAATTACACAGGAGAAATAACAGGCTTAGACAATAAACTGAGTTACAAGCCCATGAACGATTTTACATTTACTTTGACCATAAATAAATATAAACCTGTTAGCCATATTAGTAATGGTAAGTCAAATCTGTTGGTAAAGCAGGGGTAAAATGTAGAATCTGTCAAGTCTTTAAGACACTCTCTCACCTTTAACGTATTTTATGCAGAAAGACTGATTCTTAAGTATATTAAGCCACAGCTATTTATAGTGATATTTAATGCATTTCTAATTTGTTTACCTTCCACTTACATAAAATAGATAAGATGTAAACTCTGAACAATGTAACAGTTTCTAAATCTTAAGAAATCTTGATAAGTGAAACTGGGAAGAAAAAAGTAAACTGGAATAAATAAATAAAAATCCACTAAGTTTTACTGAAAAATCACAATATGAATTTCAATATGTCTTATTACAAAGAACACTATGATCATAGTTTTTTTTTTTTTTTGAGACAGAATCTCACTCTGTTGCCTGGGCAAGTGCTGTGGCATCAGCCTAGCTCACAGCACCTCAAACTCCTGGGCTCAAGCAATCCTCCTGCCTCAGCTCAGCCTCCTGAGTAGCTGGGACTACAGGCACACATCACCACGCCCAGCTAATTTTTTCTATGTTTAGTAGAGATGGTGTTTCACTCTTGCTGAGGTGGGTCTCAAACTCCTGAGCTCAAGCTATCCTCCCGCCTCGGCCTCCCAGAGTGTTAGGATTATGGGCGTGAGCCACCACGCTTGGCCATGATCATCTTTTAAAAACAGTAGAAAAGCTAGACCTCAGGAAACAAAATATAACAATTCATTATCACAATCCTTCCAAATTAGCATAAGGATTCTTCAAAGTTCGGACTCTAAATATAAAGAATTCATGTACTTGATGCATATTATTACCAATTAGTTCTTTAATTAGTCTAGCGCTAATCTATCACATTAGTAGGTAGTTCTGTAGATAAAATTTAGATTTAAACATTTTTTAGAACTTTAAGAATTTTTTTTTAGAACTAATCCAACCCGCTACTTTCACAAAAGTGAAAAACGAATTCCAAAGAAACTATTTCAAATCAGAGAGTTCAGATATATTTATAACAGCATTAACTTTCTTAAAAGCATAACCATCCAATTCTAAGATTCCCCTTGATGCTAGGAGACATGATTTTCTCTCAAGTCTGGGTTAAAAAACATATAGAATTGCATGTGTAAGAGAAACAGAATGACAGTTTATTTGTACAAAAGAGATGGAACTATTTAAAGTTATTAATAAGCAAAGATATTATAACCTTGAAATGCCCTTCTTTCATAGTTAATATCCCAATCTATAACATAAATCATTTAATACTATTAAAGTAGTATCATTCTCATTTAAATATTCCTAAACTCTACATGAAACTGCCAATAAACTTAGACATTACAATAAAAGGTATAGACAGCATAGTCAAGAACTGATGTAATGGCTAATTCAAAGTGAATGACTTATGGAGGTATTAGAAACAGGTTTTGATTCATTTATACAAATGAATGGAAAAGATAAAATCCAAAAATGGTATTAAAAAATCAATTATGAAATGGAAAATTCAGACAAGGGAGATTGGGCCATATAGCACAAAGCAACTAAGAACCAACTATAAAGTAAATCAAGAAAAGATTACTTTAAAAATCTTAAGAATTTTTGTCAGCAGACTATGTAAGAACCAACTGTAAACTTATCAAAGAGGTTATAAAAAAAGCTCTAAGATTTCACCAGCTGAGATATAACTGAAGAGACTTTTCTTAATTCATGCCTCTCAGTTTTTACTTAAATTCTTACCTCCTTAAAGCTCTTACCTGAAATTCAGCTGTTTTAGGGTTACTTATGTGGACTGCCTTTGTTGCAGAGATATCCAAACCAAGTTTATCAGCAATATCTTCTTGGGAGCACTAAGAAGTACATACAAAATAGATTGATATGGAAAAGCAATGACTATATTTAATATAGAAAGTATTTAATGCTGTAAGTCAACTTCTGATGGTTTAATAGCAATATATATTCCCTACATAAATCAGTAAGTTAAGAATAAGCTAAGAATAAACATATATCAATTGAAGGCCCACAGTAGAGGCAATTTAACAGGAACAGATCTCTTAAATGTGTTCTAGCTATGATATGGAGCTAAAGTAAATTTTTCACATGGAGATGGTATAACTTGTACTCAGGCCCTTCCTAAGCTAGTCTACCATTTACCTTTCTATTCTAATCTCCTATACATTCTTAGCCATTCCCTATCCCTTACACTTTTCCTTACCTTTACCTGAAATGCTCTCCCAGCCCCACTCGTACCCATTCCCCAAGACCCTACTAAATGACCTCTCTTTCATAAAAGTATCCCTAATGACTCCAGTCAGAAATTCTCTGTCCCTCCTTGGTATTCCCATGGCTTTGTTTTGATTACCATTGTAACCCTCGCTAAATCCACACTGACTTGGGGCAGAATGGTAGGACTGAATTCAAGTAGCCTGAACTCCGCCCAAAGTTCTTTCTACTGTATCATGTAACTTCTGTGCATGTGCTTGATAAAGCTCCTTGTAACAAACTGGTAAGTACCCACCTACCAAAAGGAGAATGCTTGTCACCCTCCAAACCAGCACTGTAGGTGGAAGTTATGAAAATAAAACTCACTATTAGATATATCAAATCTAATAATAAATAACTAATAAGATAATCAAGTACAGTACCTGGCATAAAGAAAGTACTCAAAAAATATTAATGATGATGTTTTACAAATCATTACTAAGGATAGGAAATAATTGCCACATATTAATGCTAAATTTTTGAAAAAGAACTTAAAACTTCAGATGAAAATTGATATACCATGAGATTGTTGTACTGTTTTCCAACATTAGGCAATATTGCTCATTTATTGTCTATAAAATGGTCTTCAAGGACTAGTTGGCTTATATTTCACTTAGGAAAAAAAAGAATGGTATAGAATAACTGAAATGGTAAAAAGAATTAATTTTATGACAATGCCAGTTCTAGCAATTCTTGCCATGTTTTCCTGGGAAAGATCCTGAAGCCACATCCAGGCATTGCAGGAAACAGCTCCCTGATCCACTATGTGCTATGGCTGCCAAGGTGGAGAATGGTGACAAGCACACTGGGGATAGGCATTTTCCCCACAGCATAGAGGAGCCTCATAATAAGATTCAAATATAACATGACCAGTTAATTAGGAAACGCAATTTACATGATGCAGTCCACTCCCAAATGGAACTAGTATGGTTTGTGTAAAAGAAAAAGGCTTCCCAGGCACACAGCAAGTGCAGCTATGTTTCCGAGTGACCTCGTGTTTTATCATGACCATGGATGATGACAGATAGTGATAAGAAGCAATTTAAATTAAGCTGTCCTGAAGCAGCAGTAGCTAGCATGCAGAATGGAATACTTTTTAGATGTTGATATTTATGTGTTTGTTTTAATATGTTAGAAAAAAAATAAGTAAACTAAGCTGATAATTTTCATAGATACTATTTTTATAACAAGGTTAAAGTAGGTAGTTTTAAAAGTGAGCCAATTTAAAAGAAAATACGACAACTGCTGTAAGATATAGCAAAAATCATGATGAAATGTGAATTATACTTGGGAAGTCAAGGACTAGTTTTCGGAAAAAGAATGGCTGTTACTCTGTGTAAAACTGTACGTAGCAATACAGATCATCTTTGCTCAGTGATGTTTAGGTTTGCTTTAAAAGTGTATAATTTCATAAATACCTTTAATGTTAGAATTCCTATACAAAAATTTATTACAAATCTGAAATTCTCTAGAACCTCACTCCTCCCCCACCTAGAGATAAACAATAAATGTGGTAAAGTGACTTTACCACAGACTATTACTAACATCCCTGGCGTGACAGGTAAGTCATAGAGAGGCCTTGGGCTGGAATCCCTGATCCACTGACTGGCTGCAGGAAAGTTGGAGTAGGAAAGTTACTTAAATTAACTACTATAAAAGGAATGGCTACTTCCCAAGGGTATACTGAGAAGAAATGTAATTATGCACATAAAGCCCTTGGCACAGGGTAAACACTCCCTGCAGAGCAGGCACTAGTCAGGACTCAGCCCAAGTGCTCCTACAAAGGTGAGTGGGGCCACAAAGTTAAAGTCAAAATGCACTACTAATATAAAAGGGCAAAAAAATCCCACATGCTGAGGTTTTAACAGCAGTTGTTTCTGGGGAGGAAAATAGGATTAGAAGTGGGAAGGGGAACTGTCATGGTTTACTTTACATGGTTAAAGTCTGAATCCTTTAAAATGAGACTATTCCTATGTCACTTACACATTAAAAAAATAATAATACATTTCTCAGTGTTATTTTTTGTATTTCATTTTACATGAAATCATGGATGCTCACGACTAAATATATATATGTATACATATGAATGACATGGCACTAAAAACAGTGTACGCAGCATGAGACAATGGAAAAGCACAGCTCTAGGAGGTCTAAAGGCCAGGACTCCAGTTCTGGTTCTCTTGCTGTCTATGCAAAATGTTAGGTACTTATCCTCTCTCAGCCTCCAGCTCCTTATTGGTATAGTGCCTGACATACAATAAATCCTCAACAAGTGTGGCTGAATGAATGACTGCTGAATCAGAAAAATGAAACCATTAAACTAGACAAGAAGTAAGGTCCCTTAAATACTCTAAATGATTGAGAATTTCAGGGCTTGGGTTGAGCTGAGGGGGAGAAAAAGAAGTAGCTGTTTTCCCCCACAGATTATTAAGCTGAAACTTACTTGAATACTCAAGAACTACATTGTAGGCACCACAGAAATGCTCAGCAAGAGGAAAAAAAGGAACTACAAATTGCATACACATTTTATTCTTTCAAATGGTCAATCTGGTAGGGGAGGCAGATTTCCTTCTGATTTTGTAATAAAATTCATTTCCTGATTTAGGCCTTTTATGTCAGCTTTTCAACTCAAAGCAAATGTTTGTGAGCGTGTTCAAAGACAAAGAAATAAGTTTAATGTGGAACAGTCCACAAGCCCTTAACCAGGGCGGCATCTAGTGGGCGCAGCCACAACCGAATTAAGACCAAATATTCTAACTTAATAAATTTGGTTATGAAACACATTGTGAACCACTCAACACTCACATGAAACTATAAAATACTCTGCCATCTGTCACTTAAGACATTTTTTTCTAGGCCTTCATGTTCTTCTGTGACTGTAAAGAGAAATCCTTCAACATTTCTTTACCAGAAATGGTGCAATCTCAAGTAACAAAGTTATTCTTGAGAATCTGGAAATTTTAGCAGTCTAGATTTTATAAATTCATATAAGAAATCACAGAATAAATAATTCGGAGGTTCTAAGGAAACAATGAGCAGAGCGGAAAGAGCACATAAGACATACCAGAGCAAAGGTGAGTGCTTCAGTGAAGCCAGCGGCTGCCATGTCATGCCTGAGAAGTTCAGTGAGCTTATTAAGAGGAAACTGAAAAAGAAAGTATTCACTTTATTTCACCTCAATAGAATTTCCTATTTTTTAATCAAAAGAGATTTATATAGAACATGTCTAAAAGGAAACCACCCTTCCACCCTTACTAACGTACTGTTAATGCCACCATTTCCCCACCAGTAGCATACCCCTGGCCCACTGCCTCGTTACCCTACTCCTACACAGATGTACAAAGCCCCCCACTTCCACCACTCCCACACACGACTTCTGCCTTCAGACCCAAGCTGAGAAAATGAATCTCCCAGTAAGAGAGTCAACAAGGGCTCCAAACTCAAAACCTGTCTTTCTTCAAAGAACTAGTCATCACAGGTTTTAAACTTACTCTAATCATCTGGGCATCTGTTTTATATCCTCTCCATAGCAAATGCCTCTCATAGCAGAGCATGTCCAAATACTGCTTAATTCCTATGTTCTGTTTTCCCGAAGACTTCCTGGCATTCAATAATCAGTTTCTAACAATAAGGAGTGTTTATTTAAGGGTGCAATCTTACTTGATTAGCTATGGTGTACGTTTTCGGGAGAGTCATCTGAATGTTGTTATATCCATAAGCAATAGCTGCATCTTCTACAATATCACATGCATGGATAATGTCAGCTCTGGTCGGAGGGATTTCAATCTCAATCTGATTCCCATCACCTATGACTTCTGACTTTAAATACATCCTAGTCAGAAGCTTGGCAAGATTTTCTGGAGTTTCTCTGAAATAGGAATGTACAAATCATACACTTCACTGAATTATTTAAAACATGTATACATTTTGTTTTAAAATATGCTACTTACCTGAAAGAGTAATCTTACTTTTTGAGTTCTATCAGACACCAGATACCCTAACTGATGCTGTATCATTTCTTAACTCACACGGAAGGATATCAAAATCCTCTCCAAGCATTCTCAGGAAAAATGAAATAGTCTTATGTGTACTTTATTCTTGAATTCTCTCCAGCAGTAAATAAATCAATGAAGTTTTCAGACCATACCTGATTCCAACTTTCTTGTTAATCAGATCAGCTCTCACCATCTCCTTTCGGTAAGCTAGTTCCTTAAAGAGAAAGAGTTTGAAAACCTTAAATCATTCTCCATCAGATACAGCTTTAGACTCTTTCTAATTCAACTAGTTGTTGAGTTTTATTACCCTTCCAAGAATTTGTCATTAGAGCCACAGACGAAAAATAAACTTGATGTTTCAAAACATTATTATGGAGGAAAAAAATTTGTTACATTAGATTCATACACGAACATTCTACTTGCTAGGTAATTTGCGCTGCTTAGAAATAATATAAAATGCCAAACATTTTTCCCTTTTAGATGGTCTATTCTCATTCCCTACGGTAAAACACTGCTGCATTATACCATTTCAGAGATGTTTATAAATCCTGGTAAAGACTTTTAGTCTGATCTCATGTAAGCAGGTATATATGACCAAGAAAGAAAAATTCAAGTGTCAAAATGTACTATCCATCATACTAAGTCTAAGAGTGTTATGAAGATACTCCTATTTCCCAGGCGGGGAAATGCAATGATATCCCAAGACCAGGCTATCAATCTGCTCCAGAAGGCAGTAGGGGTGGGAGCATCTCATGAATTGTTACTCACTCTCTTTCAAACAATATGTAACTCTGTCATATCAGGTGAGAACAACATGCATAAAATCCAGGCTTTTCAATACCTTTGGAAACATACCCACGAGTATTTATCACTGACTCACTCTCAAAAGTATAAATGCTACTAGTAAAAAAACCATACATTTAAAAACCTGTTTTGATTCAAGTAAGGGCAACGGGCAGAGCCTTGCTGTTCAAAAGGCAGTCCTCAGAGCAGAAGCACCAGCATCACCTGAGTGCTTGTGAGAAAGGCAGACTTCATGTCTTGATACCTAGCAGCGGTGACACCTCACCTACTGAAGCCCAATCTGCGGGTATCCCCTGGTGATGTGAATGCACAGTGGAGTTCGGCAGGCACTGGACTAGATGCTAATGATTGCAACAGTAAAAACGAACCTCTTCTGAACAGTTGCTATGAGCTAAACAGTTATTATGAGCAGAACAGTACAAGATGCACTTTAAGATAATCTTACTTAACCCTCACAACAGATGTTATTAGTATTCTCATTCTACAGATAAGAAATTTGAGTTTTAGATTAATAACTAGTCCCAGGTCACAACAACGATAAGCTGCTGAACCCAAGTGCTGCTATATTCCCACTGCATAGAAAAATGCTTATCAGATAATAAGCATGCAGTATATATTTAATGAGTGAATGCATGAAGTAACTAATGAACAAATCAATGAATCAATAAGCAAATTGAGACAGCCTAGTTCCAAAGTACATACCATAACCATTAGTCTATCTACCACTTATCCCCTCTAATTCTCTTATTCTAAAACTTTTCTACAAAATAACAAAAGACCAGAAGAAGAACTTTCAAAGTGTTTGGGGAAATATGCTAGTTCATGTGAGAAAGAATCATCCTCCCCAAGAGGATCCTTCCCTTCTGGGAGGACAATCTGAGAAGAGCTGTTCTAATTACATTTAGGATGAAATAAATTAACAAATACCAAAACACCTGTATAGTACCCCTTTTCAGAAAGCACACCATTTCAAATTTGTGAAAGAGCTCTATAATACAAATGATTTTAAGAAGTTACCTACATGAGAAAAGTGATCCAAATTTAAAAATATAATATTTCTCTTCTTCCCAAAAATATATTAATATATTCACTGTTATTAACACTTGACAATTCTCAATGTTAAAAAGAAAAAGAAATTTTCTCAAATCAGACATTATTTTAAAACAGACTAAAAAGCTACATCTGGCTTATTCCAACTGCTACTGTGGTAAACTGTAAAAATGGCCACAGATGTTTCCCCTCTCTGTATCCATGGCCTTGCAACATGACACTGTAGATCCTCCCATCAAGAGATGGCATCTATTTCTCCATCCCTCAAATCTAGCCAAATGACTGGCTTTGGCCAACAGAACCATGCTTGAAAAGCATTTGAGCACTGGGCTTGCTTTCTTGCTGCTGGAAGCCTGCAACCATCACCATGTAAAAAAGCCCAAGCTAGTCTGCTGGATGAGGAGGGACACTTGACCTGTGGACCCCACTGCCAAGAAGTAGACATGTGAGTGGGGCCATCCCGGATCATCCAGCTGCTAGACAATCAGCCAGCTGTCTACACATGTGAGCACACCCCGCAGAGATCAGCTAAGCGGGACCAGACCACGAAAGAGAATTATGAGCTAAATAAACAGTTGTGGTTTTAAGCCACTAAGTCTCAGGGTAGTTTGCTAAATAACAAAAGCTAACTGGTAACAGCTATTAAAATCCAGATCGATTAACAAAAACTGATACTGCCCATATAATTTCAGTTATGCTTTTTACAGTTATACATTTATTTTGAATTATAATTAATACTTGAACAAAATATGATGCTAAACACTAATGTTTTCAGGAATGAGGAGGTTT